CCGCGCGCCCCCAGCGGCACCGTCTCCTCCTTCATCTTCTTGGCGCTGTCCTTGCCAAAGAAGACACATTGGTCCACCACCCCTGTCACCACCACGTCCACGTGGAATCCAGAGGCACAATCCCGCGCCGACGCCGATGCCCCCTCGCCGGTTCCTTCACCCACCTCCGGCTTAACGGCAGTCGCCAACCCCTCGCCACACCCCATGTCCACGTCAGGGCCGTCCCCATCCCCCTTGGGACCGGCGGTGGCCAGGAGGAACTCCACGTTGTTGGGCAGCGCATCACGGGACGGGCTGATCAGCTGGTAGAGGTCACAGGTGATCTTGTCCTTGGCGCGACCACCAGCATTACTGCCGCCGCTCGCTGTCCCGCAGCTCATAAAGACGCAATTGGGACGCCCAGCAGCACCCGACTCGGCCACAGCAGCTCCGGCACGGGGCTCGCGGCTGCTGGAGATGCGGAAAGCGATACGCACCTCGCCAGGACCCGGTGCAGATGACGCTGCCGCTGTGGCGGTACATTCAGCACCTGGGCGGCACAGCCCGTTGGGCCGGGTGCTACCATGCTCCCGCTGCCGTGACTCAAAGTGGGCAACAGCTTCGGCCACCCGGCTGCAATCAGAGCCACTCGGCGCTTTGGTTTCACCGCCGGCCGCCTCCACAAACACAACCGGGGCAGCGGGAGCACCGCAGGGCCGGGGGAAGCTCTGCAGTGCCAGTGCCGTCCTCTGCTCCACCAATGCCACCATCTCCGCCACCGACAGCAAGTCAGGGGCTTCACTGGCAGCAGCAGACGGTTCGCTGGGATGTGGGTAAGCCAGGTCCCTGCTGCCAGTAGCCCATGCTGGGCTCAGCTTGCTCTTAGTGGGGTCGTGGCAGCGCCGGCGCCGCTTGGCTTTGGAGCTATCGCTGCCCCAGTTGCCCTTTACCTTCATGGTGCTGGCACGGCCGCCGGTGCTGCCACCGCCAATGCCGCCACCGCACTGGTGTGCCACAAAGAAAGCCACCTTCTCCTTGGTGTTGCCCGGTTTGATGACGTACCACGTGTCCAGCAGCACCCGACCTTCCTCCGCCGACGCTGGGGGAGCCGGGGCAGCATCGGTGGGAGGCGGTGGAGTGTTTTCGGACGGGGCCCGGGTTCCGGCAGGCTCTTCGGTGGGACGGCAGGAGAAGGGTTTCTTGGTGGAGCTGGGGCCAGGGCATGGTTTGTTCTGGGAGTAGGTGCCGAAGGGCCGCGGGCACCAGAGCTGCAGCTGGGGGAAGGCGTTGGGCTCCATCAGGGCAGCATGGCACTGCCGACACTGCCAACGCTGCCGTGGGCTGCCAGCGTCTGTGCTCAGGCCTGCTGGGAGAGAAAGGAGGGTTCATGGTGGGGATGGGGTGGGGACAGCGGAGACAGTATGGCCTGGCAAGGACAGTATGGGGCTGGTGGGGCCATATGGGGCTGGTGGGGACAGCGTGGGGCCAGTATGAGGCTGGTGGGGCCAGTATGGGGCTGGTGGGGACAGTGTGGGGCCACTATGGGGCTGGTGGGGCCAGTATGGGGGTGGCAGGGGC